CTTCGGGGCGGAGCCGCGCGCGAGCGGGCGACGTGCTGTGCTCGCCCGAGCGTCGCGCCCTCTGCGCGCGAGAATGGTACTGCAGCTTCGGCGCGGCGCATGCGTCGTCGCCGCCCAAACGAAGGCCTACATGGTACCCTCGCCGCAGCGCCGCGCGAAGATTTCTCTGCAGTTCCGCTCCCGCTCGTGCGCGAGCCACGCCTTTCCCGCCCGCCAGCGCGTCGGAGAAGGGACCGCGCGCGAGCGCCTTCCGTTCGCTGGGAACGCGTCCGGGTCCCAGTGTCAAGTTACGCCTCTGAAGGGGCCCCAGGACACACAAATAATTACTCACTGCGTGGAGCTCCCCATATGCGCCTCTCATGTTTTGTCATGCCGTGGCGAGCGTCTGTTCATGAGCGGTCGACTACAATAGCGCGTCCACGTGGGCGACAGGGCCGACGAAGACGAGTGACCCCTAATGCGAGTGATTGCGTATGAGTCAGAGTGAGCTTTGAGTATGGTTGAATGCGAGCCTCTTCCTCTTCATCCCCCTCCCTCAGCTGCCAGGCCTTCCCCTTTTCAGCCGGTGGTAGCTTTGGAGCTTCCCACATGTGCATATGTTGTAGGATAGTTGGCAGTGGGATATGTAAGACGAGCGTTCAGCCACACAAGGCCATAAGTGCATGTCATGTTGGAGGATAGTGCCACGGTGAGCATTTCCAGCGATCCCCGCACACAACCACCGCCCCCCCTCGCAGTCACCCCCTATGAACACACACACACACACATATATATATATATATATATATGTATATGTATGTATATAAATATATACATATATGTCCTGGACTTCGGAACAAATGTTCTGCTCGCGTCAAGGACCTTCGAGCAAACCGCCCTCCTCCTCCTCCTCCTCCTCCTCCTCCTCCTGTTCCTCCGCCCCCTCCCTTCTCCTGCTCCTGCTCCTCCTCCTCATCCTCCTGCTCCCCCTCCCCCTCCGCACCCCATGCCCTTCCTCACGATCCCCCGCCTCCTCCTCCTCCTCCTGTTCCTCCTCCTCATCCTCGTTCCTATCATTTCCCTCCCTGCTGAGCCCAGAAACAAGCAAACCGCCGGAGACATCCCCACAAAATGGCCGCGAACGTGCCCGTGCAACCACCCCTGGCGGCTCCCCATACGGGTGCTGCAACCAGCGCCCCGCCTGAGACATCCTCACAATCTGCTCTCCAAGCGAAGGATGTTGAGCCCAGAAACAAGCGAACCGCCTGAGACATCCCCACAAAATGGCCGCGAACGAGCCCGTGCAACCACCCCTGGCGGCTTCCCTTAGGGGTGCTGAAACCAGCGCCCCGCCTGAGACATCCTCACAATCTGCTCTCCAAGCGAAGGATGTTGGGCCCAGAAACAGGCAAACCGCCTGAGACATCCCCACACAATGGCCGCGAACGAGCCCGTGCAACCACCCCTGGCGGCTCCCCTTAGGGGTGCTGAAACCAACGCCCCGCCTGAGACATCCTCACAATCTGCTCTCCAAGCGAATCAGTGCGGGGCCAGAATTACTCACTGCGTGGAGCTCCCCATATGTGCATCTCATGTTTTATGTCATGCCGTGGCGAGCGTCTGTTCATGAGCGGTCGACTACAATAGCGCGTCCACGTGGGCGACATGGCCGACGAAGACGAGTGACCCCTAATGCGAGTGATTGCGTATGAGTCAGAGTGAGCGTTGAGTATGGTTGACTGCGAGCCTCTTCCTCTTCATCCCCCCTCCTCAGCTGCCAGGCCTTCCCCCTTTCAGCCCGTGGTAGCTTTGGAGCTTCCCACATGTGCATATGTTGTAGGATAGTTGGCAGTGGGATATGTAGGACGAGCGTTTAGCCACACAAGGCCATAAGTGCATGTCATGTTGGAGGATAGTGCCACGGTGAGCATGTCCAACGATCCCCGCACACAACCACCGCCCCCCCTCGCAGTCACCCCCTATGAATACATATATATATATATATATATCTATATATGTATGTCTTGGACTTCGGAACAAACGTTCTGCTCGCGTCAAGGACCTTCGAGCAAAGCGCCCTCCTCCTCCTCCTCCTCCTCCTCCCTCCTGCTCCTCCTCTTCCTTCCGCCCCCTCCCATTCTCCCTGCTCCTGCTCCTCCTCCTCATCCTCCTGCTCCCCCTCCCCCTCCGCACCCACCTGCCCTTCCGTCCGTCCCCGCCTCCTCCTCCTCCTCCTGTTCCTCCTCATTATCGTCGTTCCCTGTCATTTCCCTCCCTGTTGAGCCCAGAAACAGGCGAACCGCTTGAGACATCCCCACAATATGGCCGCGAACGTGCCCGTGCAACCACCCCTGCCGGCTCCCTATAGGGGTGCTGCAACCAGCGCCCCGCTTGAGACATCGTCACAATCTGCTCTCCAAGCGAAGGATGTTGAGCCAAGAAACAAGCAAACCGCTTGAGACATCCCCACAAAATGGCCGCGAACGAGCCCGTGCAACCACCCCTGGAGGCTCCCCTTAGG